AAAAAATCACCCCAAACATGCCTTACCTATATGTATGTATACATACATACTGTACATATGTGGTGCTTTGGCCCAGAGGCAATGTCCCTGTCATTGCTGTGGAACCCCCTAACTGGGATTCAATATTGCCTCGGAGGTGAATCTAGGCAAAATCGAATCCCGGTTAGGGCGGTTGGCACCTTCCAGTGGACTCACCACCATGGATAGATATAGTATATATCAAATTCAATCAAATTTTCATTTATATAGCCCACATTTACAAATCAGTTTTGTCTCACGGGGCTTAACAGGGTTGGTAACATCCTCTGTCCTTAGACCCTCAGCAAGGGTAAGGGAAAAACTACCGAAGGAAAACCCTTTTAACAGGGAGGAAAAAACGGTAGAAACCTTAGGGAGAACCACAGGTGAGGGATCTACTCCCTGGACGGACAGACAGTGCAGTGGATGTTACCGGAGCAGAACAATACAATACAGTGAACATACAGAACATACAATAGACACAGTTATTGTCTAAATATCTAAAAACAGGTCAATATAAGTCCATGGCTGGTCGAGGCTTGGGCGTTGGAGCTTTGGTCCTGGTCGTGGTGGTCCTGGTTGGTCAGGCAGGGTGCTAGTGGGGGAGAGAACAGAGACTCACCCATGTTTTACATATATATACTGTATGTATATACACATATATATACATATATATACTGTATATATGTATACATATATACATACATATATACATATATATACATATATATTCTGTGTGTGTATATATATATATACACACACAGAATATATATGTATATATATGTATATATGTATGTATATATGTATACATATATACATACATATATACACATATATACATATATACTGTGTGTGTGTGTGTATATATATATATATATACAATATATATATGTATGTATATATATATATGTGTATATACATACAGTATATATATGTAAAACATGTTATAGCTGGGCATCTGTGATGCAGTACTTACCACATTGTGTTGTTGTGTTGTTGTCAGAAGTGCAGATGATCCCTCTGTTGACCGGTTTTTGGTTTAGTACATGTTTATTTATGTTCATATACATCTGTAGTCGGAGGGCCAGGAGTTTGTAAGATACGTGATTGACCATAAAATTATTAAAAAAAAGGGGGTTTGGGGTTAATTTAAGATTCATATTATGATGAATAGTTAAATTTGTTGTCACAATAATATTATATAGAATACAGTTATTTTATGTATGACAAACATTAGACTAATAATGACATTCAAGACCTGTTTTGTGTCTCTGCAGGATCCCTTACTTTGAGACAAGTGCAGCGACAGGAGCAGAGGTGGACAAGACAGTGATCACACTGTTGGACCTGGTCATGAAGAGGATGGAGCAGTGTGTGGACAAACCACCGGTGGAGGCCAGCAATGGTAATGGCACGGCCAAACTGGACGAAGACCAACCAAACGCCAAGAAATGTGCGTGTTAGATCAGAAGACTAATCAGGAATCAGCAAGTCAGTGTTGATCTCTGTCCTCTCTATTCTACACATTCCGATTTTGTTTTCTTTCTTGCTTTAACTAATTTTGTCAGTCTTTGTCTCTTTAAACCTTCTCCTACAAAACTGTCTGCCTGCCTCCCTCATGTGGACGTTTAAGTTTCTACAGTATCAACCCCCCTTTCTTTCAGCTGTACTCAGAAGTAAATTAAAGCAATTTTAAGACTGTCAGCCACAAGTACCTAATTTATTATATCTAAACTTGTCCACATTGACATTTTTCTCAGTTTATTTATTTGGTTCACATTAAGCTTTTCAGTTGTTTTAAATTCATAAAATAAAAAAATAAAAAAAGGTTAACTGTTTTATTTGCTGTTACAATCATGGAATGAAGCATATTAGCTTAGCATCCATCATGGTGTCCAATTTGACTAAACACTAATATTACCAAACAGTACCTTCATTATTTTAATAAAAGTGTCATCGGCATACTGTTGGACTCACCGGCATATTGCACTTTTTCACAAGTATTGTCTGATGTAAAGTAATATACCCCAACCAACAATTAAAATTAAAAAAAAAAAAAAGTCAACCAACACATTTGAAAATTGAGTCAATATTTTAAGTTTGTTTAAACAGGCAGGCAGGCCTCTTTAGAATTAAAAGTTTTACTTCAACATTATAAATCTGAAATATTGGTTTAAGGCCCAAGTATAACCAATGTTGTCAAAAATAGCTGTTCTACTAATGTAGAATAAATTTATATATTTTTGCCAGTAGAAAATATCAATGCCAAACTGCCACAGTGCTCTACAGAATTTCCCCAAATTAGAACTAAAAGTATAAGAGACACTATATGAAGTACTATTTATAAATCCTTGTGTAGTTTTGAAATTGTCTTTAGTTTATTTTATTTTGTTCTGTAGTAAAACATAATATACAAAAATAGACCAAAAAGCTGTTTCGAAATTTCAAAATTCTTTGCTCTAGACGTCTGAATTTCAGCACTTAATGTCGCCACAAGTGGCCAGTGTTGGGCATGTACATTGGACCAAACGCTTTTGTGTTATGGTGTATTAGCTATCACGTCAGTCCAGGCACTGTTAAAAAGCTTTATGTTAATTCGTTTAACTTTACATTCACATCATATTTTTGTGACATTAAATCTCAACCTAACCTGCCTTACTACATAAACAGTACTGAGGTTATTTTCAATAGATCAGCAACATATGTTTTTGTTTTGCAGAAAACGATTAAACACAAATGAATTTGACATGTGTGTAGTGTATCTATCAGTTTTGAGTTTAGCTGAACTTTAACTCTGGATGATGATTTATTGGATCGTTCTGTCAGTAGCCAGGAAGTGCTTTAGTTGCAGCAAAAAAACACATATTTTCTGCAGTGGAACCACATTTTAAATGCAACTAAGCCAGGCATAGTCACTTCAAAATAATTAAGAATCGAGGTCTTTTAAATGTGACAATCCTCCTGTGAAGTTTTTTGTTTTTTGTATCTTTTTCATTACATTTATTTCAAATTTCCGTCTAACGTTTGCGTTCATTTGTTTTATTGCCTTAAAAATGTCCTTTACAAATCTCCTGCTCTCTAATGTTTTTTTAAAAAAAGTTTACACTGTTTAAAGAGTCATATTGTGCCTGGTATTAACTCTGATCCTTTGTTTCAAACTTTGTGAGTTGCTGAATAGTTTACCTCGTCACTGAATAATTATTAAATTACAAAAGAGAGGTGAAAGAAAAACATGAATGCTGCTGTCTGTTTTTTTTTGCAAGATGACACATGCACCTCTGAGAGTGTTTTTGAAAGTCTCTGTGTAGTATTTTCTCTGATGCTTGCAGTATATTAAAGTTTTTCCCTGTTTGTTTTGTTTTTAATTTTTTTCCTTTTGCCTTGTGTGAGTTTGTTGCACTGTCAGCATGTTTGACACCATGAGAACTGAACGATCTGTGATGTGTTTTATGTTTCTGATGCCAGAGCTGCAAATAAAATGTCTGGATGTTTTTAAAAACATGTTGGAATTTTCCTGCTTACAAAAAAAAACAAATTGATTGACATAGGAATTCCATTTTCCCTTTAGATTAACACTGGGTAGCACCACCTGTCAATTACGTTAAAGTTGGTACTTTTACACTGCTCAATATGTTAAAATACTATTTACTTTGGTCTATTTATTTTACTCAAGACAACGCCTGTACCTAGCTCAATATGTTAAAGTACTATTTACTTTGGTCTATTTATTTTATATATTTTACATTTTCTATGTTTTCTATTCTCTAATTTATTTCTTTTTCTTTCATATTTATTTTTACATTTACATACTAAAAACACATTTTATCACAGTGTACATTTTATTTTCATGTTGTATTAGGAAACTTCTCACCAAAAGAGAGAATCTGGGGGGAAAGAATGGAAATAAATACCCAAGAACATTAGAACCAGAAAGATGTAGTTACAAAAATAAGTCATTGTTTGTTTTTACATAATAATGCAGCCATGGCCTGTGAGAACAAAAAAAAAAAGAGTTGACATTAATGTAGTAATATTATGTAATTAAAATCCCAACAACTGTAATATGAAAACTGTGAATCACACTCCAAAGACAAAAAAAACAATACATGTAAACTTTAAAAACCATTCACTTTGTTTTTTTTCCCAGGAGACACAAAGCGATTCAGATTATTGCTGTAAAGATTATTAAAAAAAAAGATGAATCCACCTCTACAGTCGGATTTTTCTAGAGTCTGTGGTTTTAAGGCTTAAAGGGTAAATTGCTCCTTTGTTTCTCCTCCATGTTAAACCTTGAGTGATTTAAATATAGTGTATTTAAACAGGTGTACGATAGCACAAACATTAGCAGTTACAGACATACTGCGTTTGTTGGCTTATTATTATTACTATTATTTTTTTTAAAACTTTGTTTTACTTCTATGGCTTTAATCATTTGGCAGTCTTTGCAGGCAATTTTTCTTTACCTTACTGATGACAAAAATACTTTGAATGTTTAATATCATCATTTGCATTTCAAACACTCAAGATTCCAGGTGCAGAAAAAAAAAAAAACCAACATAGAAACGAGGTGTTAAACATTTCAAACCAGTGGTTACAGAGTTTAGAACCGTAGTTTTTCTGATTTACCTTACATGGCTAAACAGCTGGGAGTCAAGCTTCAGGTCAAGTTCAACTCAGGACTTGATTTTCATCCCTCCCTGTTTTTGTGCTTCTCAACACCATTGATCCCTTAAATGTGAAGTCTGTGATGCAGCAGCAAAACCTTAAACCATTAACAGAATATGTTGCTCCAATATCTTCTCCTCCTGCCCCTTAAATTTAGAGAGTTTATCAAAAGAGAACAGAACAAAAGAACACAAGGCACAATAAAAAACATATATGACATAAATAATATCTTAATTATTACTGTGTGAGAATCAATAACACAATCACAATCCAGTGTCCTCATTCTTGCGATACATGTGCCTGTGTAAAATATGTCTGAATACTGCAGATACAGTTGAGCTAAGCTAACCTTATAAAAATCTAAAATCTATATATTTATATCTATTTATATATATATGTGTGTGTGTATAAAAACTAAATCCCTGACGTTAAAGCTCCTGTGATAAAGGTTAATGCTACAGAGGTGGAGCACATATCTGCTAAAAAAAACAAAAAACCAAGAATACATTTTTTTTTTCCAATTGTTATCCATTATGCGGTATAATTAGAACCCTCTTACTCCCCCTGGTGGCTTAATGCAAACTTTTAGTGGAGACGTGTAGGTTCTTATCCATATCAGTTAAATAAAGGGCAACTGGACTGTCCTGGTTTCTTGAAGATATCTCACCTTTTCATCCAAGAGTCTTCTTTAGTTCTAACAGACTGATGGAAAACCCTGGTCTTTATCCTCAGAGTTACTATAACAACCCACTCAGTAACTCCAAGGATAAATACCAGAATTTTCCATAGGTCAGTTAGAACTGAACAACACTCATGGATGAAGAGGTGAAACCCCTTTAAGATCCAGTTGTCCTCTACTGAACTGTTTTGGATTCATTTTAGTGGTAGTGGAGTAAAGGCAGTTCCCAATAGCCACCAGGTGATCACTGAAAGGTTCGGGTGATCAGAGCTTTGTTTAATTCCAATGTTTAATAAACTCATTATTTAAGACATAACATCAGAAATATACAAATAAGAAATAACAAAACGTTATGTAAATAGTTCTTTTGATTAGGGATGTTCTCTTACCAGTTCTTGTGGCGGTACAACAGCTGAAAACACCTTAGGTTGTCTACATCATCAATACTGTACTCTGGTTCAAAATGAATAAAGTCTATGTTGATTTCATGAGTGGCACTTTTGTCGCCTCCTAGTGGTCATAAGCAAAGGATAACAACATCAATTTAAATGAAGACAAAAATGAATTGGAATTGGGGCAGTTCTCTAAAGCCACCAGGAGGGGGTGGCACCTAAAAGGTCTGGGTAATAGTTTAAAGAATAAAAAAAAAAAATTAAATAGTTCCAGGGAGACTGGTTACAGGTTACCTACAAAGTTCTTTTGTTTCAGACGTTGGTCATGGTTTCTGCCTGTTCTTGTGATGGTTCAACGGCCGAGGACACCTGCTGCTGTCCTTCGTCCTCGTCATCGACGCTCAAGTCAAACCTCAGGTTGTCCAGGGTTTGACGAATAGTCAGAGCTTCCTTACGTCTGTCACACACACACACACACAGAGATCACACGTTGTTAGTGACTGTTACTATGTCACTATGTACTTTTTACTACGTACAAATTGACAGAAAACTGTGAGTGTGTACTTTGTCTGAAGGTGTTGGTCCAGCAGTTGTTTCTGCAGTCGGCTGTTTGTCTCCCTCTCGTCGGTGAGCTCCCTCTGGGTGTGGCGGTACTGCGCGTCCTTCCTGCTCGCCTCCTCCTCCACCTCGTTCAGCTGGCGCTTCAGGGAGCGGATCCTCTGGTTCATCTGGAGGAAAATAGGAGTGGTAGAGGTGAGGAGAGATTAAAATACGTTTTACTACGAGTGGTATGCTGGAATATTGTTATTGCTAGTGAGTGTATTTATAATTAAAGGCTTATAAATCCTGCAGATTTAAAACCAGTTTTAGGGGAGTTAAATATGAATGTTACAACCAGCACTGAGCCAGAACTGAGCACCAGTGTGACTTCAGAATTTAATTAATTAATTTATGAAGCACTACTTCATTGTAAAGATTATATTTGTCTGGTAAATAGTCTGATATTCTTATTAGGAATAAATTCTTCAATTCCTCATATACTGAACAGTGTTTGTTCATACTGGTGGTACTTGGAGAGACAAGTACCACCAGTTAAGAGTTTTTACCCACTCTGAAAGGTTGAGAACCACTGACTGAGAAAGATGCAGTTAGCCAACAGGGGGCGACTCCCAATATTGATGTATGGTTCACAACAAGGCTACTTTATATTACATGATTTATCATTTACTTTGATTTACTTCGTCCCAACATCAGGGAGCGCCACAGCGACTCAGTTATTTGACACAAAACTCGTCCCAACATCAGGGAGCGTCACAGCGACTCAGTTATTTGACACAAAAATCTTATGTGATGCAAAGCTCTCTTTGGGATAAAGATTTAAGAATATATAATTTAACAGTTGCGCCCATTTAAGTTATTTGACACAAAAGTCTTATGTGATGCAAACCTCTCTTTGGGATAAAGATTTAAGAATATATAATTTAACAGTTGCGCCCATTTAACGTGTTGTTCTGCACTGACAGAGAAAATTAAAATCTTGTTTGAGGCGGAATAATAATACTTTCATAAATAAGGAGACAGTAAAAGATAGGGAACAGCAGCGAAGTTGACACTAAAGTCTCACCAGATCCTTCTGCTCATTGGCTATCCTGTGTTCATCCTCCATCTGATCACTCAGCTCGTTGATCCTTCTCTCCAGTTTACTAATGGTGCTTGTCAGAACAGCTTTGTTTCTGTGAAAGAAAAAAAAAACAAACAAACCTTAAAACCAGCTGATACCACGTACAGTACATCATCAACGGATGGAATGGAACGCACCTCTCCTCCGTCCTCAGGAAGTTTTCCAGCTCTTTGACTCGGCTCTCTGCCTTGGAGATCACGTCCTCCTGAACTCTGGAGCTGTGCATCTCCTCCAACTCCAGACGCATCTCCCGCAACTGCAGGAAAAGAAATTGGAGAATGGAGTTTCTCGGTTGATGTTTGTTGTTGCTGAAATGTTTTGTATTTTCAGCACAGATGTTAGACATGAGTTGTTTTGGGATTTCTTTGGGATTTTTCTTGTGCTTCTTTATTCTTTTTTCTCTAGTGGTATGCTAGGAAATGTTATTTCTTTTAATCTGAATTGTTAAAAAAAATTCCCTAAAATATTTTTTTTTTGTAATATTAGAGTGTGTAACAATACTTTATTTGGAAACAAGCTGATTTTTTTCAAGCATTTTCAGCAAAGATTATACATTCTAGGGCAGGCATGGGCAAACTAAGGCCCGAGGGCTGGATGTGGCCCATTCAGCTTTATAATCCGGCCTGCCAAATTATATAATTTATTTATATTATCATTATACTTCTGCCTTTTCCATGCGATACTCACATTTCCCCAATAGATGGCGTAGAAAATGATAACAGCATTTTAGCATTTTAGCTTTTATGCATGAGTTGTACATGTCATTTATCTTAGTTCACACAGACACTCCATCTATCTGCTCCTGACCCTGTTCAATTCAAGGACAATTGTGTCCCGTCAGTCAAAAACTTTGCCCACGCCTGGACTAGGATGTTTATTTTTATGATAAGGCAAATTTAAGACATTTTATTTCTGTGCTTGTACTTACCTGTCTCTCCATGGAGGATTTCTCAATTTCCAGCTGATCGTTGAGATCTTTCTCCTGAATCAGCTTGAGCTGCAGCTGCTCCGTCTGAACTCACAAAGCAAAAAATGTCAGTGACCGTCAAGAAATCAATATTCTTTGTTAACCTTAACTAGACAAATGAAGTACCTGTTCAATCGTCCTCTTATGTTTGGCAGCCCATCTCTGCTCACTTTCATGTAGCTCCTCCAGATCACTTTCCAGGTCAATCATCTTCTCCTGAAGATACACATATATACATATATGTTCATGTAAATATTTATAAATAAATGACACAAAACATATGTGAACCTGCATCAATCTCATACAGTAGGATATTAGGACTGAGAAAAAGCTTTGTCCTGTGGTCCATTAGAACACCAAACACAAGTACCAGTGTTTGATCTAATGATCATCCTGGAAAATATATATATATATATATACTGTATATATACATATATATACATATATATATATATACATACATACATATATACTGTATATACATATATACATATATATACATACATACACATATATACACATATATACATACATACACATATATACATATATATACATACATACATATATATACATATATACATACACACACACATAAATACATATATATTCACACATACATATATAGATATATACTTACAGACCTATAGGTTTTTGCATAAAATATATATATATAGTATAAAAATGTACTATTTTTATACAGTGTTATGCTCAGACCTGCTACGTTTGAACATAATGTGTTAACATGACAGCAAGGAACTCTTCACTCTCTTAAACCTTTAATCATCTGTGCGTTGTTACCTGAGCCACTTTGAGCTGTTTGGACAGGTCGTCCTTGGACTGGTTGGTTGCCTGCAGCTCCATGTGCAGGTCTTCCACCGTCCTCTCCGCCTGCTTACACTGCAGCTGTAACCTTTCTCTCAGCTGAATCTCTTCCTCCAGGGTGCGCTCCTTGTCAATAAGCTTACCAGAGACCTGTGAATTACCATACAGTGTGTGTTAACACGGAGGTGTTGAGACTCATGTTGATGTAAATGAGACCTCCACTGATAGAACAACCACCGTGATATTGTATGTATGATGGATGGATGGATAGATGGATGGATGGATGGATAGATGGGGGGTGGACAGATGGAGAGACAGATAGACAGATAGATAGATAGATAGATAGATGGATGGATGGATAGATGATAGATGGATAGATGGATGGATGGATAGAT